TTGAATCGATAGATCAGTTTAAGGACAATTGACATATAAACAATGTTGAGTTTGCCAGTCTTTGAGCATAGTACTTCTCTCCAGTTACTTAGATCTTATAAACTTCCTCTCAGTGGTTCTGATTGTACAAAGCTATTGCATATCTTTTGTTAAATTCCCAAGTTTTTGTGTTGTTGAATTTTAAATGATCAATTGTGATAATGTATTTTTGTCATATTCAATGTTTTTAAGAATTGAATTGTATTTTAAGATTTTATTCTCTGAGTTTATGAATAAAGGTTACAGAATACAAGATCAACACACAAAAAGCAATAATTTTCCTGTATATAAATAATGAATACATTTTAAAATTTATTCATTAAATATTTATTCTGAAATTTGAAAAACAATACTATTCACAATAGCTTGCCCTCAACCCCAAATGAATACTTAGGTATATTTCTGTGGCTAGGGTAGCTCAGTGGATTGAGCATGGGCCTGTGAAGCAAAGGGTCATCAGTTCAATTCCCAATTAGGGCACATGCGTGCGTTGTGGCCCAGGTCCCCTGTAGGGAGTGCACAAGAGGCAGCCACACATTGATGTTTCTCTCCTTCTTTCTCCTTCCCTTGCCCTCTCTCTAAAAATAAATAAATAAAATAGTTTTAAAAATACTTAGGTATAAAGTCACCAAAACACACAGGATCTGCCTTGACTGGTGTGGCTCAGTTGGTTGGAGCATCATCCCATAACCAAAGAGTTGCGGGTTATATTCCCAGTCAGGGCACATACCTACATTGTGGGTTTGATCCCTGGTCTGGGTATGCATGATCCTCAGTCTTGATGCATGTGATCCACGGTTCAGGAGTGTATGAGAGGCAACTGATCAATGTTTCCCTCCATTCCTCTCTCCCTTCCTCTCTCTCTGAAAGCAGTGAAAAAAAGTCTTCCAGTGAGAATTAAAAAAAAAAAAAACGCAACTGGATCTGTATACTGAAGACTGTAAAGTGCTGTTAAAAGAAATTCAAGAAGACCAAAGTAAATGAAGAGACATATGCTGTTTGTGGATTGGAAGACTCAACATAGTAGTGATGTCACTTTTTCCAAAGTGATCTGTAGATTTATTGTAATACCAATCAAAGTACTAGCAGGATACTTTTTTGGAATAATTAAAAGAAATTTGAAAAAGAAGAACAAAGTTGAAAGAATTACTTTAATATCAAGATTTAGTAATCAAGACATCATGGTATTGGAGATATCGATGCATAGATCAATGGAATAGGATAGACAGTTCTGAAGTAGATCACATGAATACATCAATTAAATCTGACAAAGGTGCAAAATCAATTCATGGAGAAAGGATAGTCTTTTCAACAAATTGTTTTTGAGTAATTGGTCATTCATATGTAAAAAAGAAAAAGGACCTTGATATAAACCTCACATCTTATACAAAGATTAACTTGAAAGGGTCCTAGATGCAAATGTAAAACACAAAGATATAAAACTTTTAGAAGAAATAGAGGAAAAAAATCTTAGAGGAAAAAAATCTTTATGACCTGGGGTTAGAAGTGATGCCAAAAGCACAATATATAACAGAAAAACTCAAAAAACTGGACTTCATCAAACTCAGAAATTTTTGCTCTGCCAAAAACACTGTCAAGAGATTTAAGAGACAAGCTATATACTGGGAGAAAATATTTGCAACTTACATATTTGATAAAGGACTTGTATCTAGATTATATAAAGAACTCTTAAAGCTGAAGAATTCTTAAAACTCTAACAACTCAGCCCTGGCTGGCGTAGCTCAGTGGATTGAGCGTGGGCTGGGAACCAAAGTGTCCCAGGTTCGATTCCCAGCCAGGGTACATTCCTGGGTTGCAGGCCAGAACCCCCCGCAACCGCACATTGATGTTTCTCTCTCTCTCTCTCTCTCTCAAAATAAATAAATAAAGTCTTTAAAAAAAAAAAACTCTAACAACTCAAAAATGGTCAAAAGACTTGAACAGATACTTCACCAAAGAGTATATAAGGATGGCAAATAAACATGTGAGAATATATTGAATATCATTAGCCAGTAGGAAAATTAAAATTAAAACCATGATCATGTACCACTATACACATATTATAATTGCTAAAACAGAAAATAGTGGTAACACCAAGTACTGGCAACTGGAACTCTCATGCATTGATTATAGGAATGCAAATTGGTACCCCACACTGAAAAATTATTTTGTAGTTTCTTATGATATTATACATACACTTACCAGTCCCACTCTGAATATCTGCTTTAGTGAGATGAAAGCTTATGTTTACTCAGAAATCTATACCCAAATGTTCACGGCAGTTTTATGTGATAGCAAAAACTGGAAACAATCCAAATGTCCTTCAAAGGATGAATACATAAATTACGGTACATTCACACAGTACAGTGGCATAGTGCTTAGCAATAAAAAGGAATGATACACACAATAACTTGGATGAACTTCAAAGACATTATGCTGAGTTAGATAGGTCAGTGTCAAAAGGTTATGCACTGCATGATTCCTTTTATTTGACATTCTTGGAAAGACCAGTGGTTGTCAGGGGTTTTGCATGAGGTAAGATTCTGTGATATCAATGAGTAGTACCAGAGAGTTTTTGCTTGTTGGAAATGTAATTCACCCTCTTCGTGGTGGTAGTTACACAAATCTATACATGTGTTAAAATTTATAGAACTGTTCACTAAATAAAAAAGTGAATAAAAGTTTTATTCTCTACCATATGAGAATAAAAATTCTTTTTAATATTTTAACCTTCATTCTGTTTTATGAATATTTGTATGTGACCTTGTTGTTGTTTTGTATTTTGTTTGGTTTTGGTGCTTGTCCCCTTTCAATGTGGCATACCAATCCGTAGGAGCTTCTGGAGGTCAGGTGGTCAGTGGAGTTGTAGCTCAAGTCCATCTCAATAGTAGATCCAGTGGATCCCTGAATCTACTCTGTGGTCATTTGTCCAGTTCCATAATGCATAATTGGGAGAGACATACTCAGCAATTGGTAGAATCCCATATTTATTTTCTGTATTCGCTAACTCATTTCCCTGTTCATCAGTTTACCTGTCAGCTTACAAATTTTATTGCCATTACCTCTTCCCTTTTGTTTATTCTGTCCTTCTGTGTCTACATCTTAAATTTTTTTTGTTTGTTTTAGTAGAATTCCAGTAGGGAATGAGTATGGTACATGTGTTCAATTCCATCTTTACCCACAACACTCTATCTGTATTCTTTTTCTAGATGATGTTATACAGTCCAAAGGCTTTGAAGACCATCCATAACATATTGATCATTAGTTTATTTCTAAGCCCTACTTCGCTTTCCTCTGAGTTCTAGACATGCATTTACAACTGCTTACTGAATTTTTTCTTAATGTATCTAATATACACAACTCAGATGCTTAATTCCTCCATTTGAAATGCTAATTTCTCATCCAGTCTTTTTGTTCTCAATTAATACCTCTACTGGCACCTACTTGTTCAACTCAAAATCCCCTTCCTTCTCTCCTACATCAAGCTTCATCAACAGATTTTATCAGTTCTAGACTGAAGATACATCTACAGTCCAACCACTTCTCTCCAATTTTATGGCTGCTACCCTGATCCAAAGCCTTTTCATTTCTCACCTGGGTCCATGCAGTAGCCTCCCGGCTTCTGTTCTTACCCTGCTACACAGTAGCCAGTGTGAAAAACCTGAATTCCAAAGTAGGCCATGTGTCTTCCCTGATACAAAGCCCTCAATGCCATCCCCCCACACTGCATGGTTTCCACATTCCTTATTCTGCCCACAAGACCCCTGCATAAGTCTCTGATTCCACCTCTTGCCAATATCTCCTTGGTACTTGTGCTCTGGCCACGGAGACCTTTTTGTTCATCAAACACACCATGCTTGTTCCCTCCCTCAGGGCCTTTGCAGTTGCCCTTTGGTCTCCCTGAATATCCTTCCACCATATCTTCACACGACTTACCCCTCACTTCATTCGTGTCTTTGCTCAAGTAGCAGCAACTCTGAGAAGCCTTCCCTGACCACCCTTTCTACCTTTCTCCCAGATTCCCATTAGTCTTTATTACATCATCTTTATTTGTTTTCTTCTGAAAGTGTCTTGTTTTTCAACTGTATCTTTCTTTAGCCATTTGCATATAATAAGCCCTAAGAGGGCATTGGTCTGATCTGTCTTGTTCTTTGCTGGTATGATCACATCTACAGCAGAATCTGGCCCGTAGTAGATAGATTTCAAGGACTGTTGGATGGGTGGATGGGAGGGTGGATGAATAAATGAGTTCTGTGCTGACTCTTATTAGCATGTTGGTTTTTGTGGGGCTTCTCAGAATTGAGCTTTTATACAGAATCTTTCCCACTTTGATTCTACCTAAGAATGCCTTTCTCCTCAGTAACAAATCTGTTTTACAGCTGGAAATTTGATTTCCCAAGTAGCGTACTGCTAATCTTTTCTTGCATTTTATCCAGAAGTCACACTTTAAGCCATATTTTGTGCAGGAGCCTAGACGAGGCTTTGGTAGAAGACTGACCAATGTACTTTTTCATCTCTCAGACCTGACTGAGTATGGTGCTGGGTTAGAATCAAGAGAGACTGAACTAGAAATTGAGTCCATGATGGCTTTACCTCTCAGCATTAGGAGTTGGCTTTTGCTTTTCTACTTGCTCCTAATTAGTCTTTTAATTTTTAACATCATTTTCTGGTAGCCACTGATCCCTTAAAACTGAAGGTGAGATTGAGGCAATGATAAGATGTAATGTGTCAGTTTCATTTCATCTTCAGAAAGTCGAGAGATTACAAAATGTGAAGCTTCCTTTGTCTAGTCACCAGATATAAACATGATACCTTCCAGTCTACCCGTCATTGAATCATATGGTACCTAAGTCTTACTGGTTTAATTATGTTTCTTTTTAATATCTGATGAAGTAAAGATGAACCCAGGAAATGACTCCTTTGCTTTTTTGTTTCTTTTTTCTCTGTTTTATACAACTCAGGAAGTTCATCAAGAACGAATTGCATTGGAAAACCAATTGGAACAACTTCGTCCAGTCACTGTGTTGTGATGCCCAAGACCCAAGTAACAGTGGGTGACCTTCTGTGCCAAGATCTTTCCTTCAACTATTTCAATCCAATTACATGTCATAGATGTCTGACTGTGTCAAAAGCTGTGAGCAGTGGGTTAGAATCCGCGCCACCTTTTCTCTTGTACTTGTATGTTTTACTGGATGGAAAATACAACTGATTATCACGCTTGAAATTGTAATTATCAGTGGAATTTCTCTCCAATTCTTCAATATTTCCTTGAGGTGTTAGATGTTGCTCCTTACCAAAAATCAATCTTTTATCAAATAATTTAGAGCATTATTTATTTAAAGATTTTACGATTTATCCAAAACCTCATAACCCAGTATATTCAGGATGCTTGTTTTATTTTTGTTATGTATATCGTGTACAGTATGTTGGTTTCCTGAATAATTGAAATTGTAACCGGATAGTTTTTGGCATGACAATAATAAAAACAAAAACTAAAATAAAACATGAGCATCAGATTTAAACTGGCTCTGTGCCCTCTACCACCATATACCAAAAATTGCTTCTTTAGTGCCATTTTGATATTATATTTAGCTATAAATAATACATGACTATTGTTTTCTACTGAATGTCCAAGACTTACTGGATCTTCACACCTCTGTGAAGTGGAAGTTCTGTCAGTGATCTATTTAACTCGGCCCAGTTAGGTCACCAACCCAGATAACTCAGTTCTTCTATGTACATTTTGTTGGCAAGAACAGTGTGCTGTAACTGCCTTGCCTGATCAAATTAAATAAATAGTTGCCAGATCTCTACTTTTATCCTCTGTGGGATAACCTATCTGTAAATGCATGAATTTGGAAACTACCCATCAAATATGAAAGGCTTAAGAGACTGTTTGTATCAATAAACATTTATTGTTTGAACCCAGGTATTCAAACTGGGGAAGAAGAGGGAAAATTGTTGTTACCAACCATTCAACAATCTCTGGTAATTCTTTTTGTTTTTGTTATATTATCTCGGGCTGTGAGTGTATTGGGTATGAAGTAATAAAGAAAGGCAATTCTGACACAGGGTATATAGCTATTTGGTTCTATGGGAAGTATACCCTTGGGAAGTGATTGGTTTATGTGCCACTCAGAGGGGCCCAGCTGACTCCAGTGTAAGTGATGTGAAACAGTGAGCTCAAATCGCAGAAGCCAGTATCCTGTAGAAATTTGGATAGCTGCTGCTTCACCTGAAAGCTCAAGTTGAAAGTGGGAATTGACCAACCCTCACAGGGATCAGGGCATGCCGGCTTTAACATTACCTTGAGAGAATGATGGCAAGAAATGCTGTCTCTCATGCATTTTGCTCCTATACACTTTCTTAGAGTAGAGGGGTGGGATGTGTCTAGGGTCCTTTTTGAAGTGGTTTGGCTAGGTTTGCAGCATATGAGATTAAATCTTTGATTTCAACAGAGTTGACAGCTTCTAGAAAAGTAGGCATTTATTTAATGCTTCCTCATTCCATTGGCAAGCTTCATCAATAGCTTAATGGCAGAAAAGAAAGGCTCAAACAGATGATGTTTTTCCAAATAAAAACAAATTGTTGATTCTGTTCTGTGCATGTTAAAGGCTTTTGAATTGGCTTGATTTTGAAAATCAGAAAGCTTGAACTCTTTCTCTGTTCATACCTTCTTCCTTCCCCTTTGGCTGCCTTTTTTTTTTTTTTTTTGTCCCTGTACGAAGGGTTCAGAATCAGTTTAAACTCTTCCTAAGGTCATGAATGGGTCAATGTAAAGTTAACCTCTTTTCCCTTTTTCTGAGATCTGGGAGCTGTAACTAATTTTATTGACAGTGTCCTTGTGGCAGGCATTTCACAGCATGTTTGCCTTTTGGTTACATTCAATCCAGGAAAGGCTAGCATGTGTACTTTATCCCATAATCTTCCAGTACATATACACTCACTCGAGGTAGCACTTCACATCCATTAAGCAGACATATAAACTAAGCAATGTTACTATATATTATGTATTTTAAAAATATTGACATTTCCCCCATCAAGCCAATGCCAGAGTAAGCCAAATTAGGTTGGGATTTTGTTTAGTTGGTTTGATTTTTATTAAAGGAAAAAATCTTGCGTTAGACAATCAAAGCTCCATGAGTTGCATAATGTCACCAATATTTTAAGATAGGCATTGCATTAAAGCACATACCAATAATATCTATACCCAGCCTTCTTGACTGGACTTCTAGTTACCACAATTTATTAGTTGTTTAGAAGTGGATTTAAAAAAAATTAAATATAAGCATGTAGATGTACATACACTTACATTATTATTACCTAACTAGTGCCCATCCTCTCTCCTTTTCTCTGTTTTCTTAGGATGTGCACTTTCAGTTTAGGATTATAACTCCTGATAATGCTTCTGTGAGCCTTTAATGTAATTTATAGGAGGGCTGGGCCATTGAAATTACCATTATATCTCTTCTAGAAAACTGCTCCAGGTTGTAGCTGAAGAATCCATGGGAAGAAGTAATTAGTGGCAGAGTTTGGATGCCAGGCTGATTTTATGGATTCTAGCTTAACTCCTTGAGCTTCTAGCAAAATAGATTAGAAGGGTTTCTTCTATGTTAAATTTTATTTACTTAATCTGTCTTAAATTATGAAAACACGTTTCAATGACTATTAGATCTAGATTTTTCTCATGGATTGAAGCAAAAAATAAAATCTGAAGGGGAAGAATATGGTTGAACTATTTGTTCTTCTGAACACCTCACCTTTCATGATGCAATAAGTTACTCTGAGTTTCTTGGCAGAACTTTTGAGAGCTGTTGCTGTGAATGGATTCCTTTCCTGTATTCCTTATGGGAGTTTGCTTCTAAAATAGACTAGAAATGAACTCAATATGTAGTAAGTTAGTTTTCTTCAGTGTATCTTTGGTTACTAGGGTTGCAAATGTTCAATTTCAGCATACTTAACGGTAAGTAATCAAAAACATGAGTTTTCTTTTGACTTCCTACCAATGTCTGAACTCTCATAAAGCATCCTTCTCTTCATATATGACTTGATTTTGTAGTCTGTTTCTAAATGATATTGTCTAGTTCTCAAATGATCTCACACCCATGGTGATAATAGATGTATATTCAGAAGATCAATAAGAAAATCTGAAACGGATATGTTCTTTGTGATTAAGATAAGCTTTTGCAAATGTCTTCTAAGCAGTAGTTTGAAATATCTCAACTATGGTATAACACCTTAGAGCTAAAACATTTGTTCAACACAAACTAGAATCACACCTCCTGGCTAGATATCACCAAGGGTGATTTTAGATATATAGCAAAAAGAATTTCAACCAGGTCCTCCCATATTGACAAGTAGGACTCAGAGATAGATGGAAAATTATGAATATGAACAAAGTGAAATATATCATTTAACAGGCCTTTTTCTACTCTAGTTAAATATAACTGTAGTAACTTTGGTTTCTCTTTCCAAATTGGTTTATTCTGTTTTAGGTGTACACTTTTAAAACTATGATCAAAGGATCACTTGAATTTACACTTTAGTTATTCATGTTCTATTAGGGCTTTTTTTGTTTTATGACTCAGTGTGGGAAGAAGTAGGGATTTGAGTTTTTAGAGTTCTGAGCTGGCATATCTTGTTTCTCCTTTGGCATAGGCTAAGAGAGACTGCCCACCAATACCAACATATCAATCATTGATGGATATTTGAGTGTGAGTCTTACTATGTGAACCACCCTGCTTTGCTTGTTTGCATTAAGAAATGCATCTAGTTGTGACCCTCTTAAGAGCAACTGTAAGAACAACAGACATGGAGGGCCAGCCATTAAAAGCAGTACAAGTAGATTCTAAGAGCTGTTTACCTTCTCAAAAATAGGCTTTCAGAAGCTGCCTTATAAGCATACCCTGAAATAGCCAGTCTGTGAATGTGAGCAAGATATTCCAAGTAGGTAGTTGCTTTCAGGCTCTGTAGCTATTTTCTTCATTGACTAACACACATGATGTTAATGGAACCTTTTCTAAAAGGCATTGTAGGGTTTTAATTGAGAGGACTTGTTCTAGTTGTAGAAGCCTTGCTCTGCTCTTAACAATTGAGGGTGTTTATTTTTCATGTTTTTTTGAGTTCTCCTATCTTGCTCTAAGCTAAGTTCATAATGGTGTGAGGTTAAAGAAAGTGGGTTTATAACACCGAAAACCAGAGGACACTGACTTGAGTTGGAATTTGACTACTACTATAAGGAAACCTTCAGGTAGCAGTTCCATCCTCAAGTTCCTTCAGGGAGCTCTGCCCTGGCAATGAAACAATTGATGCAATAATGCATTGTATGATGATTGGATAGACTGAGTTTGTGTTGTTTTTGTTCTGTTTTAAGGCAACTTGTGTGAGGGCTTCAACTGCACGCACATTGAGAACTGGGTACACCTTTTCCTTTAAGCACTGCTATTCTTTTGTTTCTTCACAAATATGTTCAAGTGAGCCACACGTGGGAAAGCCATTTTAGTTTTTATAAAAGTGGGCCAGGAGAGATAATGAGCTGATGGTCTATTTTAATCTCAAAAGTAAAAATGTATATTTTTTCATGACAGGTACATTGAACAGTAAAACAAGTAACCGCAAAGTATATCCTTGATGCCTTCTGTCTTTTCATGATTATATGCTAATAATTTGTGTTAATATTTTACTCAGTCTCATTCATTTGCTAAGTATAGAGAACATCATATATATTGATCTTAAATATAAATAAATATAAGGTATCCTATACTTGGATTGTAACTGGTAGACTCAAGCTAACCTTATTGCCTCCTTTTCACACTTGTTGGAAAGTCTGTGAAGAACATAGTAGGTTAAAATATTCAAATTTGGAAAATGTACATGATGTGTAACTAAAGTTATATGTTAAAAATAAATATATGATCATTAACTGTGGATTTTATGGATTTTTTTTGAGGGGGTACCAAATTACTTTATTTGAAGGAATGGTACACATGGAGGATATAAGTGGATGATTTGGTCCAAGTTACAGAAAAGGTAAAGGTCACTGACATGCATGTACTGCTTTGGTGACAGGGAAGTCCCCCCTGTGGCTGTGGGAAGGCATCCTGAGGCTGAGCTCTCCTTCCTGTCTCCCAGGGTGTGCTTGTCAAAGAGATGCTCTACCACACTAGACTCAGGACTCTCCAGCCTGCACAAGTTGTTTGTGTGGTCACCCAATTCTTTGATGGATTTTACCTTCTTAACCAGGTAGTGAGTCTTGATGAAGTCACACAAATGAGGGTCATTTTTTTCAGTGGCCAGTTTGTGTAAGTCCACTAGTGACTGATTCCAAGTATAATGGACACTGCCATTGCATTTAGCCCATTCTCCCAGTCGTCATGGTCTGGTTTTTTAATATCCTGAAGAAAGATTTGACCACCTTACTGGTTCTGCAGCTTCATCAGTTTCTCAGTATGTTCCCTCTCCTCATGAGATTGGTGAAGAAAATACTTGGCAAAGTTTTTCAAAGCCCCATCATCACTGTCAAAGTAGTAAGACGTGAACAGGTAGACATAGGAAGCATAGAGCTCCAGGTTGTCCTTGTGGTTTATGGCAGCCTCTGGGTCCTGGTGGCAGTTCTGGTGGGCCTGTGAGGTAGACATGGTTGTCATGATGAGTGGCTGAGGACAAGTGGCCTCATGGTGCTGGAGCGGTGGCTGGGGGAATTGGGACTGTCTGAGGGTACTGTGAGGAGGTGGCAGAAGGATGGATCTGTGTGGCTGCCTGGGATGGGGGTCAAGCACCAGGTTCCATTCAAGCACTGTTGGAGCAAGAAACCATGGCAACTCTCACTGAAGACTGTCACTTTTATGGAGTAGTTTTTTATTGGAATTTTTAAAATTATATTTTATGGATTATGCTATTATAGTTGTCCCAATTTTCCCCCTTATGGCCACCTCCACCCAGCACCCCCCCCCCCACTCCCTCAGGCAATCCCCCCACCATTGTTCATGTCCATGAGTCACGTGTATAAGTTCTTTGGCTACTCTGTTTCCTATACTGTACTTTACATCCCCATGGCTATACTGTGACTATGTATTTTTACTTCTTAATCCCCTCACCTCTTCACCCATTCCCCCACACACCCTACCATCTGGCAACTATCAAGATGCTGTCTGTATCCATGACTCTATCTCCGTTCTTATTTGCTTAGTTTGTTTTTTAGATTCAGTTGATATGTGTTCATTGCAATTTTATTGCTCATGGTTTTTTCCTTAAGTCCTTTTAATATTTCATATAATAATGGTTTGGTGATGGTGAACTTGTTAATTTTTTTCTTGCCTGAGAAGCTCTTTATTTGCCCTTCCATTTTAAATGATACCTTTACTGGGTAGAGCAATCTTGGCTGTAGGTCCCTGCTTTTCATGACTTTGAATACTTCTTGCCAGTCCCTTCTAGCCTGTAAGGTTTCTTTTGAGAAATCAGCTGACAGCCTTATGGGACCTCTCCTGTAGGTAACTAACTGCTTTTCTCTTGCTGCTTTTAAGATTCTCTCTTTACAAGGGACATAAAGGAAAGAATAAACAAGTGGGACCTTGTCAAAATAAAAAGCTTCTGCACAGCTAAAGAAAACAGTATCAAAATAAAAAGAGAACCAACTGTATGGGAAAAAATTTGCCAATGCTACTTCAGACAAGGGTTTAATCTCCAAAATATATAAAGAACTTACACGACTCCACTCTAAGAAGACAAGCAACCCAATTAAAAAATGGGCAAAGGACTTGAACAGACACTTCTCCAAGGAGGACATACAGAGGATCCAAAGACACATGAAACAATGTTCAATATCGCTAGCTATCAGAGAGATGCAAATTAAAACCACAATGAGATACCACTTCACACCAGTCAGAATGGCCTTCATAAACAAAGCTACAAACAAATGTTGGAGAGGTTGTGGAGAAAAGGGGACCCTAGTGCACTGTTGGTGGGACTGCAGACTGGTACAACCGCTATGGAAAACAGTATGGAACTTCCTCAGAAAACTGGAAATGGATCTGTCTTTTGACCCAGCAATTCCACTGCTGGAACTATATCCTAAGAACCCTAAAACACCAATCCAAAAGAACCTATACACCCCAATGTTCGTAGCAGCACAATTTGCAATAGCCAAGTGTTGGAAGCAACCTAGGTGCCCATCAGTAAATGAGTGGATCAAAAAACTATGGTACATTTACACAATGGAATTCTATGCAGCAGAAAGAAAGTAAGGAGCTCCTACCCTTTGCAACAGCATGGATGGAGCTGGAAAGCATTATGCTAAGCAAAACAAGCCAAGCAGTGAAAGACAAATACCATATGATCTCACCTTTAACAGGAACCTAATCAACAAAACAAAGAAACAAGTAAAATATAGTTAAAGACACTGAAATAGAGGACAGGCTGGACAGTGACCAGAGGGGAGGGGAGGGAATTTCAAGGGAGAATGGGAAGGGTTTACAGGAACAAATATAAAGGACACATGGACAAAAACTAGGGGGAGGGTGGTAATTGGAGGGAAGTGGGGAGGGCTCGGTGGGTGGGCTGGAATGGGAGTAAAAGGGAGAAAACTGTACTTGAACAATGATTAAAATAAAATAAAAAAAAGGGAATAAAAATGGAAAAAATAAATTAATACCAGATTGCTATCACCTCAGATGAAAGCATTACTGATCATGCACGCCAATTTTTAAAAGTTTGATTTTTACATTTTCTCAGAACAGTTTTTTGAAGTTACAACTATGTACATAAAACTAAGCCAGCTTCTCCTATCAAGTTAAAAGTCCTTGATACTCATAGTAAAAGGAAAAGTTTCACTTTATTAGTAATTATTAAATTTAGCTATATTCTTTCATATTAAACATCCATGAGAGACAAAAATGTAAAACTATGAAAATCTATTTAAATTAAATTGTTGTCAACATTCAAGAATTGCACTTTCTCAACAATCAATGCAGAACTCCAGTATTATAGCTCCAATTGATGTTGTGATGGTCAGAGGCTGTGCGAATGAAATTAATACTCTCACATTTCCTTAAATTGGTTCCTAAGAATGCTCATGAACAAAAGGAGAGGATGTTTCTGGGGTTGAATGTTTGGTTAAGTTGAGTTAAAGAGGGAGTGTTATTGTAGGACTTCGCAGGACCTTAGTATGCTTATGTAACTCTACTATTCTTTTAACATTGTTTCTGGGAAAGATGACTTGTAAATTTGCATGTAGCTACTGATAAACAGCCTTTGCTTAAAGGATTCTAGGAGCTAACCTCGAAGGAAGCTGACTCCAACCTTCACACATTTTTGCTCCGGGAGATCTGTTCACCTTCCAGGAAAACCAGACCATTGCTTGACCAGCTCCTAGATGGTTATCAGAGCAGATTGTGCTAACTTGCACATAGCTCCCTCAAAGAGAGCCCACAATCCCCTTTGCTTTCTTTTGTTCTGTCTTCTTCCCCACTCATAAAAAATCCTACCTGCACTGAAGTGTTAAGGTGGTCTTTGTGGCAAGAGTCTCCCAAGTTCTCAAGTAGCCAGCTCATGAATACACATGCTTTCCTTACATCAAAAAAAAAAAAGATTCTCTCTTTAACTTTAACCTTTGGTATTGTAATTTTTATGTGCTTGTGCAAGGAAGTGAGCTGTGTTTACCTATGCCACCATCTTGACCAGATGTCAGAAGTCTTGATGTCAGTATATTTGTGGTCCATATTTTGGTCTCATACATTTAATGCAAGTGATGTGAAAAGGAGTTGGAGGTCTTCCCAGTTAAATTAAAGTTTAGATGTAGTTATTTTCACCTCCTGGTGATCTGAACTATGTCCTTAAATACCTGTACACAGTAAAGACTAGGCATTCATGGGAAATCATGACTAATTTACAGTGTATTTTAAAGATCCCACCGAAATGAAAACTTAATGTAGGATTAGGTTATTTGCTTCATCTTGTTAGTGTTCTTTTAAAAAAAATTATTGAATTTATTGGAGTGACATTGATTATAATTTCTTTTCACAGAAGTGACACGCATCCCTTCTCTGCATATTTCACTTCTGGAACTCAGTCATATGACAATAGTTAACTCCAAGGAAGACTGGGCAATGTAGTTTAGGTGAACTCGGGAGGAAAAAGTTGTGAGTACAGAGTCTACCAGAAGACAAAAAGCCAGTTTTCTCTGAGAACACACAGGAGAGACATTTAATTTTAGACTGTGGTGATCTAGGAAGGCTTCATAGGAGAGTCTTAAAAGAGGGGATAGGCATTAACTATGAGGAGGAGGGTGTTCCAAGCAGAGGATGCTGTGCATGCTAAAGGCAAGGCAGGGTTAGAGTGTGGTGTATTCTGGGAACTACAAAAGATTCTCCTGTGGACAGAATGGGTGGATGTGGAGTGTAGAGTGAAATTGGCAAAAGTTGTACACAAGGGTGGATGGAAAGGCCTTGCGTGTCATGAGAAGGCATAAAGGACCCTGAAATTAAAGCCCTGTTTGAGATTTAAGCACAAATTCATGAAGTCACTTCATTCATCTTCAAGGAATGATTTGTGTTCCCCCAATTTTTTCCTCCCCCTAGAAAGAAAATGCTTCACTGGGAGACTGTAGACTAGTGTTTCTAACATGAACTCAGCCTGTCTGGTTGATTTGTTACACATCTTCTGGTGTGTGCTTGGAAAAAGGTCCAATGCCCAGAGCACAAAGGACTAAACTCTGGTAGGCAGGGGTCCTATTAGATGACATGAGACTTTTTCTATCCTTAGCTCTTTTGTTTTGGGGGAGATATCAGGGCCTCAAGATGACCAAGAAGTACAGAGATTCTTTTTTGGTATGGAGGCTTATCAAAGTATAGAGTTTGGGAAATTAAGTTGAAATATCCAATTCCTTTTGAACAAGAGTCAGTTGAACTTATTTAACAATTC